AGGTGTCAATGAAGGTCACCTGTCAACTTAGAGTAGTGCCTAAAGATTACTCAGTGCGGCTATAAACGACTGTTAAATGGAATGATGAATTGTTGAAGGATTTTGAAAACGGAAAAAATGATAGTCATGCCGGCCCAGCATCATCAACGTTGAAAAATGCCCCGGCACGAAGTGGTTAAGGTAGGTGTACACACAAAGGCGTCTGTCCGGGGGATAAGCTTTAAGTTTGATGATCATTCCAGTGTTCCCTGGTTTACTTTGCTAGAGCAGATCCTGGATGAAGATGGCAGAGCTGGCTTTCAGCTGCATCTTGTCCAGGTGTAGTTTGTGTAACGTCTGTGTTCTCTGAGCTGTAACCAATGCCAGAAGCATGACAAGTTTCAATGTCAGTTCCTTTAGTGAGAGTATGTGGGCAGGAGACAGTTTACGCAAAAAGTCAAACACATCCCAGACCAAAGTGTACCTTGGGGCTGGAGATCTCCGGGTATATGCCCCTTTCACGAATCTGACAATAAGGGGGTGTGTACCCACTATTGCATCCCCCCCCCGTAAGACTACAAAGGATGAAAGCGCACTTCGTGCAACGTTAAGCGAGTTGTAGCCTAGTCCTCGTTCAAAAAGATCGGTCAGGAATGTCACAATGTCCACTGCATTTGCCTGCAGAGGATTTGTTTTCCTTGCACTGCAAAAGTCAGGCCATCGCTCGATGTATCCGCTGTACTGCTTCCTGGTTGACTGTCTCCAAGAGGAGAGGATAATGTCGGCAGATGTCTTTGGAGTACTTTCGATGGATTGCCGGACAACCTACAACAAAGGAGTCAAGTTTCTGGTTTAGTGGGTGGTAATTACCAGAAACAGGCTGGGTGAGTAGATTGCATTTTTTGGGCATTGCAACAGGTATCTAAATTAACAGGCTAAGCATTTTGGGGAACCATGTCTGGGTAGGCCATTTTGGGATGATCAGAATTCCTTCTGCTTTGTCTGAAACTATCTTTTGTAAACATTTTCCAATTAGGCAAAAGGGTGGGAAAGCATAAAATTACAAAAAAAACCAGCTCATAGACAGTGCATCCACTGCCTCAACTTCTGGGTCGGGTTTCCACGATACATATCGGGGAAGTTGGGCATTTAACCGCGTAGCAAAGATATCTATAACTGGCCTGTCAAAGAACTCCCATAACTGATTAAATATCTTCTTATCGAGCATCCACCCTGTTTCATCTTGGAATTCTTGTGACTTTTGATCTGCTACAGTGTTTTGTACCCCAGGTAAATGGGCAACCGATATCCAAATGGCTCTTTCTACACATCACTTCCACAATTGCTCAGCCAGTGAGTTGCAGATCTCTGATTTTGAACCCCCCCCCCATTTGGGCAATGTAGGCTACTGCTGTGGTGTTACCAAAATTCAATTTAACATGGATAATATGCATGCTCCCACAAAAGGATTTCAGGGCAAAAAAGGCTGCTAGGAGTTCAAGATAATCTCATTTTCCTCTACTCTCCTAGATTCAGTGCTGTTCCAATGACCCCCTGTGTGGGTGGAGCCATTGGTAGCCCCCCCATCCTTTCCCTGATGCATCTGACGCGAGTTCCACATCAGGTCTGCCTCTACAAAGAGTGACAACAGAACTATCAATATTTCGAATCAACCAAAGCAGTTCCTCCTTTGCGGGTGGAGACAAGTACATACATGTACACCTGTCAAATTGGCCATATTTCACATTCAGTGCCAAAGTTTTCTCCTTCTCCAGCTGTCTGTAGTGTAATGGCCCATATTGCACAGCCAGGAATGAGGCTACTAACTTGCCTATAACCTTAGCCACCTGTCTATTGTGTATGTGGATGCATCTAGTAGGGACTGGCAAACCACTTTAAGTTACCTGCTTTTTGCAGCTGGCAGGACAACTTTCATTTTCATAGAGTCAATTATAAGTCTTAAATATTCTATCTCTTGTCGAGGGGTGAACACTGATTTAGTGGGGTGTATGATAATGATTAATCCTAGTCCTGCCAGCATTTGTGCTGTGACTGCTTCCTCCTTTGAGGGTGCCACAATCAGCATGTCTTCTATGTACCCTGTAATGATATGCCCGATGGTTCGTAATCTGGAGAAAGGGGCTTCAATATCTTGGTGAAGAGGCGCGGCCCTGAACTCAACCCATTAGGGAGGGCTTTATACTGGTATAATTCATTGTTCCAGCAAAACTTGAGGAAGTTTCTACATCCTACAGCAATGGGCACTGAATAGTAGGCATCTGTAAGGTCGAGTGAGGTCATATAGCAGTTTTCAGTTATGAAATTCATTGCACTTTCAAAAGTGTCCATTTTGAAGTGTTTGTATTCAATATACTCATTCAAAGATGACAAATCTAATATCATCCGCATGCCTCCATCTTTCTTTCTGCAAGTGAAGATGTTCGAGACATACTGATCATACTCATAACATGTCTTCTCAATGATCTCTTTTTGGAGGAGGTTATTTATTTCCTCCCCAACCCCCTGCCGTTCCTCGTATGTCAGTTTGTAGGGCACTGGGGCAAAAAGCTGCCTCGGGGGTGGACCTAATTTTCCAACCTCCAAGTGATAGCCATTGATGGCCTCTCAACTCACTTTGTCTGAGGTTAGGCTTTCCGATTTTCTGCTAAATAGCCTCAATTGACCACCTACATGTTCATGTTTTTTCTGTAAATGCATATTACAGTTACATCTCCTTTGGTGTGTATACCTACCTCGACTGCGGTAGGTCTTGCCCGGCCTGCCAGGTATAAATCATCCAGGTTGGTTTTTTAGCCTGGCTGTTCTTTTGTTGGCCTTGGGTGTACTGTCTCCCTTGATATTGGTTGGTGCGGTGGCGTGGGAACTGTTTCAGCTTCAGCTGAGTGTGGCTCCCCTCCCCTAAATAAAGGAACTTTGTTAGTTCCAGAGGTATGTCCACCTGTTTTCCAGCCTGCAGCTTGGAAACGTTTGTTTGTATAAGGGTGAAAAATCCCCTCGTTGTTGGCATGCGAAGCGCATCGCCCCCATTGTTGCCTTCTGCTCCTCACAGAGCTCTTTTCCCTGTTTTCCCACTGTGTCACCTTCGTTGATGGTCTGCACAAGTGGGCATATTTTTGGTTCAGGTCTGGGCTGATGTGCTCCTTACAGAGACTATTCAGTTCAAGTTGGCCGGGACCATCTCCCTGTCCAAAGGTTAATGGACCCTTAAAGGCATGAGCAAGAGCAGTGACCCCCTTTATGAGGGGTTTCTGCACCCTTTGAAGCTTCAGGTCTCTGGAGCGGGTTTTAGCTGAGACATTGTCCCAGATTTGTGGGTTTACTTTGGGCACTGCTAAAGCCTCACAGTTACTGGGGCACTGGTATGAGTCTGCAGTGTCATTCAGATTCTTTTCTTCCAGTTTTTCTGTTAGAAGAAAAGTTAGACTGTTCGCTATGTCCTCCTTAACAGGATTACCAACCCCAGACGGAACAGTAAATGGGGAAGCAAACCCTTTGTCCGTAGGCAGTGCCTGTGGTGTTGCAGTCTGGTTGGAGTCAGCCTGCTGTGCCTGTGATTTGGAGTCTGGGCTTTGTTGGTTCATGGACATTAGTCCACTAGCACAAGCAGGTTCAGAAACCATGTCATCATCAGATGGGTCACACAAATTGACCTCCTCAGTAGTACATGTATTCTCTGTGCCTGCATTGTTATTGTAGCTAGCGGTGTCATCGTCAGCCGCCGTCATGTAAGGCGCCAGTGCACCCTTGATCATGCCTTGGAAACTCTGTGTTTTTTCCGCCTGCATCGTCCGTAGACTTGCTAGAGCATGCCTTTTTTGGCATTGACTGGTCCGAGTTGCTCAAACTCGTCGGCTTGGTTGGCATGCGCGGCGGCAACATCTTTGCGCTTGCAGTGGTTGAGGCATCAGTGTATGTTACATGCATGTTAGTTGTGACAACCACCGTGCTTATACATGTGTGTAAAGTAGTACTGGTGCAAGCCGCCTGGTTTGACCGGGTGTTATTGCCCGAGTTTATCAGTTGTTTCCTGACAATTTCTGCAGACTTTGATTTTCCTATTGTGTCAATGATTATCACAGAGTGAAATCAGGCAAACAAAGGTTCTCATGCGCTGAAGATTACTTCAATGATCGTGGTTAAAAGTATCGAAAATTGTTTCGCAGTTACCACTGAAGCTGCGCCGTAGCGTAATGACTGCGCATGTGCGTGGCTGGAATCTCACGGAATCTCTCGCGAGATTTCGAAATAAAATACCTTTTTCAGTCACAAAGTCAAAAGAAGTCAATATATGATAGATTTCCAACAATTTTAGCAGAGTTTACTTTCATTTCCTGTCTATTTCATGGTGAATTTCTCGTGAAAGTTGTCCTGAAGAATCTCCATATATGGACTTGGCGCACATGTGGCACATTCTGCTTTTCGCATCACATGCAGATTCTTAACCATTAGGGATGACTCTTATATCCAGGTGCCAGAGCATTTTTTAAGCAGCAGGCATTATAAAATCTCAGCAGGCATTATCAAGTGTTAATGCATGGTCACGTTGCACGTTGCTGAATAGGGAAACTGTCTGAAGTATTTAAGAATAGATAGTAATATGAACATTAACATCTCAGCATAATAGTAAACCTACCATCTATGACAGCAGAGTGATCCTTTCCAGTGGATACTGACATTATGTGATATCTGTTTAGTGGCTTTACAATAGCAGGAATATCTTTGCATGGAATGTCATAGCTTTCCTGAAAATAAAATCATTAACAAGATCATTCATACGCATGTAACTATATCAAAATTCAGCCCACCTGACAAGAACTGGACTTGGAATTTTTGAAAACCTCCAATTATGAAGGAATCTTGAACCCGGAAATTTATATAAAGCAATCTACATGTAAACACTACACTGATAGTGACCTTTAAGAATGATCGGTAATAAACTTTACCTGATGACCTAACTGACATGCAATGCAATGCAAACTGGCACTGTTAATAAAAAAGATGTTACAAAAGCCTTCATGTATTTCGTGTCAATCAAGCATGAACATTTGCTGCATAATAATAACTCTGCAACTATCGTGTAGTATGAAAGCACACATTCCAGGTATATTGCCGTTACTTAAACAAGAAGTTAAAGAGTTCAAAATCTCAGAAATTACAACATGCCATTGGTACATTTGAATTTACACAAAGAGTTGGACCATTATCCAAAAACTCTCTGATAAATTTTTTGTCATTCAAGTAGAGAAATGACTTACAAAACAATACATTCAATAAGAAAAGATATGTATACGTCGCAATAAGAGTAAGATTAATATGTATGTGGATGGTTATCCTGTCCCTCTAGCTCAATGCAGCCACATACAGTAATTTCGCTTATTGAATGAAGCACAGTTACGTGTATGTCAGAGTTTTCATATAGAAAAATTACTGATAATTGTGCATAAAGTACCAATTTTCACAAAACAAAATGCAAACCTAACTGACCAACCAACAAAAGAAACAAAACTCATAACCAAAGATCCAAAGACTAATACAAAAACAAACACACACACAAACAAAAACACAAAGACCAAATTGAACGACCAGAACAAAATAGCAAGACCAATTGACCAAGACAAAAAGGACCATAATGACCAAGACAAAAAAAAAATCAAAACCAAAACTAGAAGTAATCTTGACCCGACCTAAGCCACAAAAAGGAAAATGCTATTAAACTGAATGTTTGTCACCTCTGGAGTATCACGTGAAATTTATGAAATTTCTAGACTGTAAATCAGTAACCAGTTTATTCAACAATATACATGTACGTACCTTGACCTGACGTTTCTTGAGACCTTTGGTAACGGTGTTGAAACCAAGCTTGTTGTTTTCATTACTTCCACAAGCCAATACCTTACCATCAGTGGTGACAAAGAATGTCCCATCAAAGCCTGCACATACTGAACAGATGGTTTTATTGCCGCAAATGTGTACCTAAATAACAAGACACAATAAACTATCTATGAAAGGATATCAACTTATCAGGCTTATTCATCTTAAAAGTAACTCTCCTTCTTTGTGATTTTTTAACCTTCTGAGTCCTCCAGAACCACACAGTTGCGGAAGATGATGGAGACTGCAACCAACCTGATTTGTCTCAGTTGTTTCTGAAAGATTTAAATAATATGAGTTTCTGGTGCATTTTTAAGGACTGAAGTACAATCCTCATTAGCTGTCACTGTTTTGGGAAATCTGAGGTAAGGATTTATCATTTTCACACAACTCATCTTAAGTTACAATTTCAAATAGGTTTAAAGCCACCAATTGCAGAGCTTTTGCAAATTTTTTTTAGCATGACAATTGAAACAATGAATCTAAAACTAGCATTCTTAACTCTCTGAGGATTAAGTGTGAATATAATACCATATGACCAGCATGGGCCTATCAAGTGTAGTGACATACAGCAACATCTAGACCTTTGAACCTCTTTTCCCCAAACAATACAAAACAAGGATTTTAACCAACATTTCAGAGCTTTGAACATTCTGTAAATGACCTTACTTTCTGAGGTAAACTATGATCATCTTCACTGCCAAGGCCAAGGCGACCTGTAAGGGATAACATACAATGTACATGGAGACTTAACATCATATCATGAAATATAATTTGCAACTCGATTAACTCCAAAGGTGTTTGTCTGGACACAGTAAGCCTCAGTTTATCCTAGAAACACTGACAATAAACAGTAAGATGGTGGTATGAGAACATTTTCTTAGTTGGTGAAACTACATGTATTGACAAATAAAACCCTATGGTACATGTTCCAATGATACAAATTTTTTTCGAGTTCTTAAGATATCTGCAATGTCTTCACTTATAGCCAACAGCTGAGGCATGTTTCATGAAATGCATAAACAAATAAAAATAACACATTTCTGCAGCCCTAACACACAAACTTACCAAACTCTCCACATCCCCAGGAATACACCTCCTTGTCTTTAGTCAGAGCAACAATATGACTTTCTCCACAAGACACCTGCTCCACAGGTTTACTACTAAATAACTCTACAAGGATTGGTTCAGTCACTTCATCACCTTCGGCATTATCACAGCCAAGGCAGCCATAGTAATCAGATCCAAATGTATAAAGCTCACCATCATCTATATACAATGTACACAAAAATTAGAAGTCATTCTTCATCTAGAAATGTTACCAATGACTAACCATATTCCAATCAGTGCTGAAACTGTACTGTTGTGTCAATGTGTAGGGGTGTGCTCTGAGCATTAACTTGTACAATTCTAAAATTCTTATGCAGAACTTTTCTTTGAGTCTTGGAAACATTAAGACTAAGATTATTAAGACTGTTTCAACTGCAGTTATACAATAAGTCACAATACTGATGTAGAGCCCATTTTCTGGATTCCTGATACTATACTTAAACACCGACATACTCGTGATCTTGAGTAAAATACATGTACAACACTGCTATTACCAACACAATGGGTCAACAAAAATATTCTGCATAGTGGTAGTTCGGAGAAGCGACTTTTAGCCAACTACAGTTGTGCCCAAAATTATTCATACCCTTTGGAAAATATACTTTTCTAAATTCTTCATTTGTAAAAGCTATTATGTTGGTACTTCCACTATATCTTTTGTCTATTTGTTACAGTACACAAACCCACATGTGTGTTGGTTAAACTTAATAATAATAATAGATACAGCCCACATTTCTTTTTTGCTCCTGGTTAAAACTATTCATACCCCAGATTTACATACCCTAGTCCAAAGTCTCTTCTTAACCACTTTGAGCCCGATTTAAGGGTCATAGGCTTTATACACGAAGCCAAGGAGCCCAAAGCCGGACAAAAGAGCTTTGCCTTGTAACAAAAGACTATACTTGCAGCAAAAGACTGAGCTACTGGGAATTGCCAACATTTTTTTATATGTCAAAAGTGGAGGAAATCCATCATTGTTTTGAAAGATTATACCACTGTTTGGGATATGCAGCGCGATCGGATTACCACCAGGGGTGAAAGCCCTCCAATGCTCAAATGATGAGAAATACAATATTGCTGCATGCTAATCTTGCCCCTATTGAAAGCTGCTAGCAGCACACTGTGCCGGTTTCAGGAACAAAAGAAACTTACATAACACTGCACAATCCGGGCAAATTTTGCAAGGTGGCAGGCCTAGCTGAAAACATAGAGGAAGGACACAGGAGTTTGAACTGCCCGAGCTGTAACATCTGGCCAATTACCGCTTTCGGGCATGCCTGGTATGTCCATAGCCAGAGCGCAGCGAACGCTTGCTACGCACCATCTGTTTCCCAATCACGAAACCCCTTTGTACCCTATGATCGCCGCCGCAATTTGTCGATGGTAATTGCATCCTTAAAACTTCATGTACCGAGGTACAGGAAATTGAATATTTATGTCTTTGTTGGTGCTTGGTATGATCTCATGACAAAATCAAATTTAATGTTTGCACAGTTGCTTGCATTAAGCTATGTGCCCTAAATCTTTATGTGCAGTCATTGCCCTTAATGAACTCTTTCTTCTGGAGTTATTTTGGGAATAAATAGCCCAGTTGTTTACAAGTTTTTGCATTTTGTTTAAATCATTTTCATTATGGCATTTGTACAAAAGCGTATTTTATGAGATTTCCTGATCACTCCCTGTAATGAAATGGCGCATTTTTTTCCTAATGAACTAAGCTTTCCAGTAGAAGTAGTAAACATTTTGTTGGCCAGTCTTAGTCAAATTTGTATCAAGCCTTTGAACACTGATGTATTGGGCAGAGAAGAATAAAATTGCAAACTTTGCATGGATAATGGAACAGTGTATCAAAATTTTAAAAGCATATTTACGATGGCAAAAGTGGGTCTAATATCAAGATTTTTCTCTATTTCCTGGTCACATCGATAAATTGTATTAAATTGCCAGCGAAAACCTACAAGTATTACTAGGATATTACTGGCCGCGCTTGTCCAGCCAAGATGCAGGCAGTAACTGGGCATTTCTGGAATGTTTTCTATTATTCGTCTGACTCGGCAGCGACCATCATTGAACACTTTGAAGTGCCTGAGCTGCAACTCCTTCTTTGTCCTTCCTCTATGCTGAAATACTCGGGTGTCAATAAATGTTTTCTGTCAGATTTGAGTAGCCACCAGAAAGTTATTCGTGTGGACATATGAAGCAAACTATGGGACAGAGAGAACCCCCCCTTTGTGCTGGTCATTATTATACCGGTATCTCAGGAATTCTTTTCAGACATCAAGGGGGATGTGTTAAGTGACAATAGGCTGGAGTGTATGTAGGGATTTGACTTGTGGGAGGATACCCCTCTGTCTCATTTCGTGCCTGGTATACGTGTGGGTGTAAATGTCCAGTAAATGAAGTTGTGAACTTCAAAAAAAATTTCAACACAGAAAAAAAGAATTACCCAGCTCAGCAGAATCAACATAGATAAATGGGCCCAATGCGAAGTGGTTAATAGTCAATAACATAACCTTTGTTCTTGATGACGGCCTCAAGACAGTTCCTACAAGTGTCCACAAGCTTTCTGCATATCTCTGTGGAATACTGGCCCACTCTTCCTTGGTGAAAGCCTCTAGCTGGGTCAGGATGGATGGTCTCCTGGTCGTCACTTTAGTTTTCAGCTCCCTCCACAGATTCTCTATCGGATTTAGGTCAGGACTTTGAAATGGTTATTCCAGTACATTACATGGACACCATTATCATTGAACCACTGCTTTTACTACCTTGGTGGTGTGCTGGTAGGTCCAATCAGGTCCAAGCTGGAGTTTCTCGCTAGACGCTTTTACATTGTTATCAAGGATTTAAAATAATCCTCCTTTTTCATGCCCTGTATCTTAATGAGGTTCCCAGTGCCACTAGTGGAGAAGCAACCCCATAGTATTATGTTGCCACCACCATGCTTTACCGTTGGGTCTGTGTTCTTTAGCTTGTAAATGTATGTTTCTCTTTGCTTCCTCAAGACGTAGGCAATATCCATGTTTTGTCTCATCAGACCATAGGACTGATGACCACAAGGTAGTATCTTGATTCAAATGTGCTCTAGAAAATGCCAGACGAATCCCCTTATGTTTCTCTCTGAGTAGTGGTGTCTTCCTGGGCCTGCATCCGTGGAGACCTCCTTTGTGCAATACTCGCTGGATGGTTGCCTGTGACACCTTCATCTCTACCTTGTCAAGGGCATCGATTAAGGCCTTGGTTGTGATACATGGGTTGTTGTTGGCCTCCTGGCAGATTTTTCTTGTGAGTCTGGGAGATTCTTTGCATTTCCTGCCAAGCCCATTGAGTTTTTTTTTTTACTGTGTTGAACCTCTTATACTTTCTGATGAAACTCTGCATTGTTGCAACAGGACTTGGAATTCCCTTTTAGCCGTTGCCTTCTTTATGGGCATTCATGATACGCTCGCGTATATCCTCACTGAGTTCTTTCTTCTTGGCCATGGTGACAAGTAGCTGAGAATGATCTGAAAAGTTTTCTTCTTTTTACACTCTTTGGGGGGAGATAGTATTTCATCAGCATCTTAAACATAAAGTCATCAAAAGAAGGTATTTATTCTATTGGAACATCTTGAAATAGCTTCATGCCAAAGATTCTTTCAGTCACAGAAAGTGAAATTAGCAGTATGAATGAAGGACATTTTTTGGGGGGATTTTGATTGGGGTATGAATAATTTTGACCAGGAGCAAAAAGAAAAAAAAGGGGGCCGTATCTAGTATTATACAAATTAAGTTTAGCCAACACATGTGGGTTTGTGTATTGCAACAAATAGTGGTAGTACCAGCATAAAACCTTTTAAAAATGAAAAAATTTAATTTTGAGCACAACTATATACATCCGGTCCCTACCTATTCAAACATGTGATGGCCTGCATCACAAACATGTTTGTATTCGTGAAGATTTTTGGCCAACACTTCCATCTTACACATACAATGAATTCTGTATATAATATTTGTCAATTTTTGGGTTACTCTCACTGGAAGCTGAATCTTGAGGTGAAATGAAATTTCTTTAAGACTCTGCACAAATAGTATGCTACATGCAGTAGTGTTACAGTTGTTACCAGCGATACACTTCGGGGTTTCTGCAATATTTTTTTTTCTACTACAAACCTTGGAAATGTAACTTTGTGTTTTAATTATTTTGAAGTTTGGTTTTGCTGTTTTCACATAGTATATTGGTGCTTTTATGTTTTTGTTGAAAGCCAAGTTCAATGGTCAAGAGCAAAATGTGATGTCATTCCAAGTAGAAAATATTGATGTTGCAATATTGCAATGTTGTGTAAGTATATTGTACATGGCAGTAAGCCAAAAAATAACCCATCTTAGAATGCTTTTCAGTGAGCGAATTTTGAATTCACAATTTGAGCAGAAAAAAATTTCAACTGAACGGTCTTTGCTCTGAATGGCATCAAAGCAACAGCACTCTCAACGGTCTGGAAAAGCACAGACAATTTTAAACTTTTTAAATAAGTGGCTTTCAATACACAACCCTAAAAAAGTCTTATTTTTCATACACTCAAGAAAAGTATAAAGTTGCACAAAAATTCACATATAAATATTCACTACTTGAATCCTTTCAAGATGTATTTTTGCATTGGGGAGATGTTAATTTTATATAACGGGTTTTGCCCTTACCCAACGTGTATTAATAAGCACTGTATGCTCAGTGCTTGTCCGAGAGCTTGCGAAAAAACCTCATAAGCTTACTCGGGTGGGACTCCTGCTTACTAGTGCAGACTACATCTTGAAAATAGCTGCTGCTTCACCTGACTCGGACTGGCCAGCCGACCCCGGCAAGCTCGGTGGTCGAGTGGTTAAGACATCTGCATTAGTAAGCAGGAGGTTGTGGGTTCGAGTCCCACCTAAGTAAGCTTGTGAGGTTTTTTTTCGCAAGCTCTCGGACAAGCACTGAGCATACAGTGGTTATTAATATACGATGGGTAAGGGTAAAACCCGTTACATAAAATTACTTGAACCCTCTTGAACAGTTGCAACAGAAACGAAGGTACAGTGGCTAACTTGGATATGTAAATCATTGTCGAAAACAATCGGATAATGCAAAATATTTGCAAGTCACAATTATTATGTACCATATAAACCAAAAGTTTATATTAAACAGAAGGTAGATACACATGTCTGTGTACCTACCTTCCATTTTATATGAATTTCTCCAAGACCAAACTTCCAACCTTTGTATTGATCAAGTGCAATGAGATTTTTCTGTATAAATGTTCCCAATGCCTGGCCAGTGTACTGTCTATGTACATGGCTGTTTGTGCATATAAATACTTGTGCATGTACCCACAATAAGGATCACGTGTTGATACTTTTCCTTTACTTACAGAGGTAGGCAAAAGAAAACCTTCTTTCCCCAGTTATAACCTTTAAACAAGAAGTGGCAAGACAATCTTTCAAAATTAACATGAAAAAATTGAACAGTTGTCCTATTTATGGCCAGAAATATATCCCAAAAATGGGCTTCGGTGAGTCCCTTTAACACCAATTTCAGAAACACTCATTGTGTATTAATGATATGCTGGTGACCTTAAAACATCATATGGGAAATACAGTTGTAAACAGTGTGTATGTTCCACACAAGTCTCGTAGCAGAGGCATGATCAAAATGCAATGTTCTCACTCAGTTCTTGTCCACTATGTTGATTGTTCCATCCATCATATTTATGTGCATGATTTGTTGTGTTTTTGTCATAAAATAAAACATATCCTGGTCTTGTGCAGTTTGTAATTTCGGACAGGAATCTCGAACACTGAGACTTGGTCTCGATGTTTCTGTGCAATAACACGTTGAATCGACTATGCCCGGACAGTGCATTATAAACCTTTCGGGTTATTATTATTTCATGAGAAGAATTTTATATGTGTTTATCTATTTTTCTTCAACACATTCAAAATTGTATACTTTGCAAAAACAAGCCCAGGGTTGCTGTCCTTGTCCAGAAGCTTCACATGAATGCACACATTACAAAGTAGCCCACGATTCAGCCAAAGATTCAGGTCTGGGTACTGACTCCTATGGTGACCAAGTTTTTCTATGAATAGTCTGTTGCCACACCGCACGTGAACAGAATGTCACAGAAATATGTTCTTCTCCACCTTCAACGTCTTGTACTCCATTTCGGAAAAAATCTCACAATTATTTCCACCAGCTAAGGGTAAGATTTTAGGTTAATACATCTTACAGATTAATGTATAATATTGTGCATTTTCTACACGTTATCAAAACTCATTTTAATGCATTTAGGCCACAACGATGCCAGTTTACATGTACATAAATATTCGTGCGAGGTTCATGCATGCCTGTCGTGCCTTTCTAACATAACCCAACATAAACACAAAATTTGACCTTACATGTTTCCAAAATTGGCCCAGTTGGTCATGGAAAGAAAATGCCCATTATTCTCTTGTGTTGATTTTCAGGAGATATTACATCATTGTATACCAGTTTCTGGCAAATCTATCTCTAAAACACTAAATGTCGAAATATTTGAAGCCTTTTCCTGAGCACTTTAAATTTAATTTCATTAGCTTCAGCCATTATCCTCAGTCCCAACTAAATTTTTAAAGTTAACAGTACAAAGAAAATTCTGGGCAAAAAAAGGGGACATTTCATGTTCTGTTTGTAACCCCATCCTAAAAGAGGTCTTGAATTAAAATTTCAAATTTAATTTGTTATGATTATGTTTTCCTTTTGCATACTTCAATTGTTCTTTCCTGAGCTTTTGACTTTTCTAGTGGTAAGCAGTGTTCCAGCGGTGAACCTTTGATCTATTGCCTATTCCTTTTGTCAAATAGCCTGCTCTTTCTTCAGTTTATCTCTAATGTTCATGCTTTCCTAGGAGATCACAGGATGCTCTTAGTACACCAGTGTGTACACTCCCAATAAACTTTTCAGAAGATCAGCAGGATGTTGGAACACTTAATCCCTAAACTTCTGCCGAGTGCTCATCTGCCTAGATACTAATCAGTGTTGGAATCGTGTGACTTTTTAAAAGTTGTCCAATGAGAGCCTGAGCTGGTCATGTGGCAAGGGCATGTTCTGGGTGACAGTTTGCCCCAGAGTTTTCGCAAGCCTGGCATTCCAAAGTTTGCTATCATGCTGACTACATGTACATGCCTGCCGAGGTTTGTCTGCATTCTGCACTATTTTTCTTTGGACTGGAGAACCCCAAAATTCAAGTCTTTCCCTTATGTTCATGAGTGTCGGCTCTCTATCATGGGTATTTTGTAAGCTTGAGTTCCTATTTATATCATTTTATACTATTGTGTGTCTTTTCTGGGTTTAGTCACTGTATTTTTCACTGTGACTCCTGATGTAAATTGTGAAAAGAAGTGTACCAATTGATTTTATGAATATATGACGTTGAAAGTTTTGGTATCTAGTAATTTCCACTAGCCAGTAATGTTCTGAGGCTATAGACTTAAAAGAGATGTTTCCTCGGAAAGCTTTGCTTTTACATTTAGCTTAAGAGGTGTTTAGTGAACTATTTGGGGTGGTTTGAGTGCACTTTTCAATCACTTTGACTTATAACTTAGTGGAGGCTGGGAATAAGTTGTGCCCTTCACTGCATTGAGAAATATGTGCATAATTTGTACATAAGTGTACGTCAGGACTTATCGCCTATCATATCTATGGTGTAAGTGATAGACTGACTGTAGTCCTACCGTTTGGACTGATGCTTTTGTAATGCTTTTCCAATGACTATGGTTTATTTGAACAGGGTTTGTGAATATTCGATAGATTCTGATGCGTGTTGAATACATCAGAACTTAGAGATATGAATTGTCTCTTGGTCAAGCTCTAGACTTTGTTTTTCATATATACATATATAACCAGTATGATCAAGAGTTGGAGCTTTCACCAATTGATTCCTACCTCATGATATGTGGGACAGAGAAATGTATTCCTAGGGTGATCCTGTCTAGTTTTAAGATTTGTTCTAAGTCAATGCCTTAGATATATTTTTTCCTTTACATGTTAACTTACATGCAAGATGGTATTTAATTTTGAGGTTTTCATACATGATGTACAGCTACCAAAGCGTGTAACCCAAAGAAAGTCGGTTGTGTTGGTCTGACCTCGTAAATGTTTTTATATTAGTAATGTGGCATGGACCACTATGCTCTCTATCTTAGTTACTGAACTGCATGTTCTGAAAGAGGGTCTGGAGGGGAGTATCTGCAATCCACCTGAAGAGCTGTCCCCAGGCATCTCAGCCACCAAGCAAGTTGTGACTTGCAGACACAGCACATGTACACCAAGGCATCTGTAGCATTAATCACTAGCATCAATCTTGCAAGATCCGCAAGAATTCCTTTGCATTACATTTCCTCTGCTGAACTTTTACTCTTCACTTTTGCCAACTGGCTACACGACATGATGGACTGCTGTTCTGCTACCTTGCAACAACTCGTCGAAACTCATCTCTACATCTAAAACTTTGGTGCCATTTTTTCCCTTGAACTCAAAGTGTATTCTAACTTAACAGGGTCCTGCATTTCCAGTAAATCTCCTATTTTACTTTATGCCATCTGAATTGGTGTTCTCTGGAATCCCTTCGTATTTCTCATATTGATTGACTTGTTTATTCCCTCCAATAAAGCAAAATATCTTTTGTTTGTAAATCCTACATTGTGTGAGGACAAGAGTTTTTCTAATGGGAATTAAATTAATATGAAATTTGGTTCCTGCTATTTTGAAATGTGAACCACGGGTTACATGTTCATCCAAATGTTTGGTATAATGTACATGTTATAGCAGCATTGTACTGAATTTCCATGCCAACAATTCCTCTTTGATGATACATTAAAGAAAACCACATTTTTAAATGTAGCATAATAGCTACATTGTGCGTGGTCTGAAAACTGTACAGGAATTTCCTGTTTCAAAATGAACCCGCTAAAATCTTTGATTCAAACTTTCAAAAACAAGGTGTCAGAGTTAATACATCCACTGCATATAAATTGAAACTAATTCACTCTTTATAGAATTTAAGTCTCATGTCTGTCAAAAACATTATGTCGAGAAACCCATAATAGTTATCCTCTCTACCTGTGACACATGCAGTAAACTCCTCTCCACATGACACTGCTCTGACATTCTGTAAGGACTCAACTTTCTTGGGGTTCTTGTAGCAAGCTGTGTCTCCGTGGCCCAGCTGACCGACCAAGGCTTGTCCCCCCTGCACATTCTGATTATAAAACAACACTTCCAATGATCATTATCAGTGCATTTATCACAAAAAAAGACATCAGAGACTCATTATTATCATATGTACATGTACTTCTCAGACCTAGATGTATGAGCTAATGGAGTCTGAAAAAGCTGAAATTACACACATTGGTCCCATTTAAACACCAATTCTATTCGGTTTTAAATGATTTGAAAATAAACTATTATTGTGTTGCGTGTGTAATAAATCATACATTCATTACAAAATCATGTCTGTACTATGTCTGTATTTTTGAGTTTTATGAAAAATTTCCACAATCTGACTGCTGGCGGGGCTGTTGAGAAATGAAATTTGTATGATGTACCGAAGAAACATTGAAACTGGTATCTGTGGCACAACTCGTTCCGCAACAAATATACATGTCCATATGAACGTGGAGCTGCATGTGCATGTACCGCATACCGGGGATCGATCTGTGTGCTGGGTCTACTGTGCCGCATTATTTCTTTTATGTCTAGAGTCTGTGCTCATTTCTTCATGATTTACAACAATGCCAAAATTGTGCGGCATTGGTGGATGTACTAGAAATTCTGTGGAAGAACCGGTATTGAAATTCTTTAAATTTCCAAAGAAATAGAGCATTCTTCAAGTTCATGCTATCATCTGAGGCTACGCATGCTATGGATGCTTACAGCGCACACACTGTGGAATTTCCTCTCCACGGTAATACATCACAAAAATCAATATTCATTAGATACTAATGTGTTGTGATGACAACAACCATTTTACAATACCGGACTGGACTCGCAGGAAAACTGGGTACAAAAAAATGTGTTTTTATTAAAACAAAAATGTGTATTCCAAGGGATATATTGATATCATCTTCGTCATCATTACGTACATGACAGTCAAGAGCAAGGGACCAGCACTCATTTGGAGACAGTTGCACAGCGTCGGCAACCTGCTTAAGCCAAGTGAGATGGGGATGGTGGCAAGGCCTCCTCCAGGTGGCAGGTCACTGACGAAGATGAAATTGGATAGCTGCGTCGAGGGCAAAACAAGCAGGAGCCGGGGCTTGGAGGCGCTGGACGAGACCAAACAAAGTGTGTCGCCTCCCTGCAACCTCTAAAACGATGTTATCAAGCCCCCTGCGCTGAGAGATGATGGCATTTGAAATGAAGTCAGACCACTGGACGCCCAGTATGCAATGCTGGCACCGCATATGGAAAGCCAGGAGACGCTGTTGATCTCTTTTTCTCATTGTCCAGGTTTGGGCCCCATAGAGGAGGGCAGAAAGTACACAAGCTCGATTGAGCCTCGCTTCTCCAAAGACGGGTCTAATTGGCCCATGATGTTGCCGGCGATGCCAATTCTGCATAGGACATCAGTACTGCACAGACCTGAGGTGGTGATAGTACTTCCGAGGTAGCAGAAGGACTGAACAGAATCTACGCCATCAGGGCCATGGGAAACCAGGGCAGGTGAAGGTCCACCTAGGGATTGATCCTTGGTCTTAGCTGATACCGATGTAACTAGCTTCCCGTTCAAAGGTTGCAAGGTGTTCCCTCATCTGTCTGGGTTGTCAATAAACAGCACAGCGTCATCAGCATATAGGAGGTCGGTAAACCTATGATTACCAACATCGATCCCTAGAGATGCCTCACACTGTGACAGAATAGTGTCCATGGCGGCACAGAATACAGTGGGGGCTAGCACACAACCCTACCGGACTCCTGAGGAAATTGAGGAGGGGGATAAATCATTGCCTATCCTGACCTTGGCTTTGGTGTCGGAGTGCAGAGCTTTGATAAGATTCAGAATGGTATTTGGAATTCCCTTTAAGGAGAGGATATCCCAGAGCTGGTTTTGGTCAACAGAATCAAAGGCAGCCTTGATGTCTACGTAGGCGACATTAAGCAGGCAATTGTACTCATGATGGAGTTCAGCGAGTAGACATAATGCAAGAATTGCGTCAGACAAGGAGCAGCTGGGAGTGAAACCTGACTGCTGTGGTCTCTGCAGGGAAACAAGTAGTGGACAAATTCTGGCTAGCAGAATATGCGAAAACACATTGCCAGGAATCAAAAGCAAGGTGATGGGGCGATAACTACTGCAGCCGTCCTTGAACCTCTCCCTTTATTCCTAACCTCCCAAGGGTTGCTGGCCCTAACCTTCCCCATTCACACAAAGTTAAAAC